GACGGCGAACACAACTCCGTATCGCCATTGCTTACAGTACTTCCATTAAACGAGCTCGGCGTGCTGCCTTCGCTTTTTGTCGGTGACTCAGCAGCCCGAGTTCCTTAAGCACAGCATGAAACATGGTTGAATAATAATAAAACCCGACATCTTTCTTACCGTCGGACGGAGCTGTGTGAGACAGAGAAGACGAATCCTTGGCAATCGGCGTGACCCTTGGAGAAGTCAGTTTGCCAGCAAAGGAAGCAGCGGCGCTTGCCGGAAGTCTGGTGATGCCATCGTACCTGAAGGCACATAATTACACTGTTGCATAAGTACACCATGCAGCCAATCAGGAAGTACTTCTCAACTTTGGTCTTCGGTTTCGACAAGTTGATAGGACCACCGGTGGCTGCGGGCAGACCGGCCACCGTACTGTTAATGACGTCTGATGAAAGGTGATCGGTGGTCGGTGCAGAATTCGATGACACGGCAGCGTTTAGCAGGGAAGTATAGTTGGCGAAGGCCAGAGGGTCGTAGCCGGCGCCGAGCAGTACCAGCGGGTTAAGCGCTGAAGGAGAGAACGGCGAACTGGAAAACGAGTCTTTCTGACCACCTGGTAAAGAAACACAAGCGGTCGCCATGTTCTGCTGCTGCAGCCAGCAGCGCTGTCTTAACAGTTCAAGTTGCAGCTCCGGAACGATCAGTGGAAACTAAATTAGAAAATTGCCGTATATCATCCATTCAGCAGTAACAGATAAGTTCTATCATTTTAAGGTTTGCGATCGTAATGCAACTACTTATGGTCAAAGACATAACAACACTCCCTATAACAATCGCCATGAATATAATTCATCTGAATAAATGAAACTGAATGATAATGAAAATAGTAGATAGCAACAGAATAAAGTTTTCAAGGGACTTAGGCACTCGTTTCCCATTAAAATTTACAAATAATTGTTTATTTAAATGGGTTTGTGGCAGCAGAACAGAGGATTTACGCCACTGTCGAACACGCCATAATAAAAAAGAACCACGCCATAAAATGGGACGTAAGCAGCATTGTGTTCAAATAAACCAACTGTCGAAAAAGAACGATTTTGGAAGCAGTCACGGTGTAACGAACAAGAAGCAAGATTAACAAGGAGGACAAAACATGGAGGGACAGTCCAGAGCGACTTTCTACATTATATTATTAAATTACTGATAAATGAACACCATTTGAAACAGCATGCGGTTATCGTTACAAACACAGCGCCATACGTTTGCAACCTTGCCTAAAACCAAAATCATTCAAAATAGATCAAAAACGACCATGACCACAACGATGGCACTAAAACAGAGATTCTCATCCAGAAATTTTCGTTTTTTGTTTATCTTGCTACGGATTCAACAAGAGTTACGACTCTCAAAATCTGAACCAGGTTATCTAAATCATTAAAGAGGCAATCTAGTTAAAAAACTGATATTTGCAAATTTTTGACGTAAATCAGTGACTACGTCTATCCCCTTGAAAACTTCTTTCTAACAACACCTGCTACTCTTTAATAGGCATTACGAGCAATACGACAAACAACTTTATCATAAACCCAGTAACAAGCTCTTTTGATCATTATCAGCTCATCCACAGAGGTAGCGACGGACGGAAGCGAACAAACCGCAGGTTGAAAGACGAACACGAAAAATAACCCAAGCAACAAATCGTACCTATTCATACGATTTTAATAAAAATTCAGTGACTGAGTTTGCTGCTTTCCAGCAGCAGCAATTAAACATGAGGAA